TCATGCTGTTCCTTTTTTTTCCAATTTTAGAATCACAACAAAATAACTTTCACATTTGCTTAGTAAAAAAAGAACAAAAAGGTATCGTGGGAATTATTTTTACTCTTTCGGCACCATCCATCATCATTTCCAGCATCTCGGATACTTTTTCTTTCTCACACAATGCCATAACTTATAACATAAATAGTGAAATAATAATAAAAATGTTTTACAAAAAGTTCCGTTCGAGAAGAAATAAAAAGTCATAAAAACTCATAAAATTCTATGAAAATATAGATGTATGCATGTATAGTAACAGAACATAAGAATGAGCATGAAACATTCACTTATAAAATTGAATTATGCTTTCGCGATGAAGAAGAAATTATAAACAAAAGCTTAATAATAAGTTAAAAGTAGAGGGAGTAAAAATGGAAAGAATAATGCCATTAAATGAGCAGAAAACATAAACGCAAAAATAAAAAGCTATACGAACGGTTACTAATGCCGCCTGAATTTGCTGTAATAAAAAAAATAAAACAAAAAAATAAAAAAAAAATTCAACATAAAGCGATTAAAATAATAATTTTTCTTGAGGCAGTCTCTCTATCTTCATCTCACTCACTTACTTCCTTCCGTATAAAACATTCATACTGTATACGCAACGCTGTTGTGTATAGTAAATTAAACTTCATTGAATGAATGAATAAAGGATCTTGAAGTCGTCTTAATTTGTGATGAATTATCATTTTCTTAAGCAATATAAGAAATGAATGAGATTAAATTTATACTGAAGAAGACACAAAGCAGCCACAATGAGGGGGAGGACTTGTTTTATTTAATGCAGAGAACGAGAGGAAAACGATAAAGATATTTAAGCTCTAGAGCACATTGTGCCTATGCAGCGTTTTTATTTGACAATATCTTCTTCTTTTTGGTGTCTTTTATGTTTTGACAGGGTTGGGGAAGGAGCTTTTGGTTCAATCTTCTTCATGCTTTGACTCACAGTTGAAACAATCCGTCAAAATAATTAAACCAAAACCTCAAACCCAAAATTCCCAACCCTGACTAATTTCGCCTTTTCCTTTCACATTATTCAGCCACAGACCAAAGTCATCTCATTTATGGTTGCGCTATTTAAAAAAACAAATTCAATCTTTAAAAGGTCGACATTATGACTATGTTGAAATAATTTTCGAATGAATTGAGGGAGGTCTTTAGCGATAACAACAAACCGAACGAGAAGTTTTGGTTCCTCTCTCTTTTATTCACTCGTTACTATGTATATATTGTTAATTGTCAGACCTTTTTTTGTTGACTTGAAGATTTTACCGTCGAAAATTTTTTCTGCTTATTTTACTTTTACTACTGAAAAGAGGCAGAAGGGCTAAATGATGAGAAATGTAGACAATTCCGCGTAATAAATTTTAGAAAAAAAGGAACTAAACAATAAACAAAAGTTTTTCTTTAAGTATATATAAGAAGTGGCGGCAGTAGAAATAGCTGAAAGTTTACTCATCAAATCAAGTAAATAGAAGAGATGAACAACAACATACAAAAGAATTGAGGGCACACAAACGAGATCACGTTTTTTTGTCTATAATGATGTTGAATGGAAACAACAAAATAAAGTTGTTGATGTTGTTATTAAGTGATTGTTATTTCAAACTTTTACTGAAAATGCGTTTTTCTTTTTGAACAGGAAATAAATTTTTTCAGCAAGATTTTTGGAATGTATGAGCATGTTTTGGTGCTGTTTTTGACATAATGTAAAAGATTTGGTTATAAACTGAAAGAACGTTGAAATTGTTATTATAAGATAAAGATGTGTCAGGTCAAGATACTATGCAGATGAGCGTGTACAGAGAATAGATCAGACAAAATGACGACAAGAAATGAAAGGAATTTTCAGATGATATCAAGATCATTTTGGAAGCAGTCTACGGCTCTTGAGTCATTTTTCTGGTGTTCACTAGCATCGGTAGCTTGTGTCTAATATCAGGTTACATCCAATTTACCACAAATGAGCCTTTACCACTAATTTTAATATCTAAGGAATTAGAAATGTTGCGTGGCTAGTTTTTGGTCATTTTGAGCTAGTTTAAACAATTTAATACGAAATTTTACATCATTTTAGGATTTTTCTGACTCTCAAAATCGTAGCTTCAGTCGTTCCTAATGCAACTAGAGAGTTGCGTCATGTTTTAAATGGTTTTAAACAAATGTTTCAATACAAATCCTTTTTAAGGCATGAATTTTGTATTGCATTGTCTATTGATGCCCAAAAAAAATCCTCTTGACACAGTTTAAAAAAAACTTTGTCCCAAATACTATGGCAAAATTTATTATAGCTCTTAAAAATGCGCTAAATAGCCATTAATCATCAGTCACTTCCTTACCATTTCCTCTTTTATATACAAAAGAAATTTTTGCTATTGTTAAAGTTCAGCATGTACATTCGCAGGAAGGAAAAAGTTAAAGAAAAATCGATAATTTTTATGTAAAAGTTTCTTTTCTTCTTCAAAAGATTCGAGGTTGAATGAGAAACAAATCGTGAGAATTTTCACATAAAAATGAAGAAAATTTGTTTGTGTGAAAATTTAAAAAAGTTTTTTTTTTCGAAAATTCGAAAATTTATTGAAGGTTTCTGGTACATAACTTTTATAAGTTGATTCTTCTTTTTTTGCACAAAATGTATGGCAAACAATCTGTGAGTAATTTTTTCTTTTTGTGAAGGAATTTCAATGGCGTCAGATGGAAAATTTCTTTTAAAAGCTTTGATGATAAAAAACATTTTTTTTGTACAGCATTGAAGCTGTTTTAGTGAATTGTATTTATTGCTGCTCCGAACAACAGGTGGGAAGTTTGTTTCTTACTCATTACCAACTATTCTAGTAGACACATAAGAAATGACTTGATGTCGCGACAATGCGACTCAAAATATTATCTGTAAATCGCCGCAAAAGCTGACAGCTTTATGTCTTTCAGTTGACAACTTACGAGATGTCGATGAGTAAAGCTATTACTGTCGAAATTTTTTTCTATCAATTTACATGTATCAATCTAGCAACAATGTGAGCAATTCTGACTTATTTTGTCTGTTGGAAGTTTTTATGAGTCAAGAAGCTTTGTTTGGCTCTAATTTATAGCTGATCTAGATGTTTTGAGATCCTGCATAAAGAATTTTTAAAAAATCCGATCACGTCCTTTAATTTGGAATTATTTTGGTGTCATTGGAAGGTCATGAAATAAACTTTAGGATTTTATCTCGAAAGACTTTGCATCTGAGTCCTAAAAAATCGATACTTGTGTTTATGAGCATTTATAATACAGCTGTTGGCTTAAGATTGTTGGAACAAAGCTAGGTTAGCTAGATTTTAACATCTCCAACATTGTCTGGGCTTGATATTGCCTAGAATCTAGTGTTGTCCAAACTTTTTTCAGCCAACGGCACATTTTGACTTTAAATATGTAGGATGTCCTACGGCACACTTTTTGGACAACATTGGTCTAGATCATCATCAGAGACTTAAGATGAAGAGCATCGAGAGGTTGACACTCTTTTTTATGTTTCCCTTTCTAGTTTCAAGCTCAATTTTAAATATCAAGCATCTTCAATCAGCTCTCAAAAATTCTGAAATTTTAAATTGATTCTTTACGTCATGAAGCCTTTCCCAAACATCAAATAAATTCAGGAAAATTTTATTTGCTTTTCATGAATCATAAAACATGATGTATGCAAATAAAATTATCAAATATCAAATTCAGCGTAAGTATTTGACATCCAATTGATAGAAAAATTAATTTTGTTTGTTTTGAGAAGAGCACAAAAATATTTTCAAAATCGACATTTGACGTCTGATACAAGAGAAAAAAAAGCGATAGAGGAAAGAGGTAGCAAATATAGATATTGAATAAATTGTAATTTGAATCAATATTAGGGAAAAGAAAAATTCGATCACATTGAAAAATTGTTTGTGTGAATATAATCGTTGTTTTCCGGACGACATAAATAGACACAAAAAATGTAAATGATTGTATCGTATCCTCATGTTATGAGAAACCGGAAAAAATTGAAAATCAATTGAACAATATAATAGATTGAATCAAAAAATAAAATACATTCACAGTTTATCTGATCCAACCCAATTTTTCATGAAGACCCTGGACCCTTCCATTGCAATGATTCTCTTTATATTTTACTTTTAGTAAATCTCGATAATCTCAGACAATTGGCAATACACAATATAAAAAAGCTTATTGAATTTTTATATCTACAACATTGAACGGTATTGACAGAAAAGTATAAAATAAATTATTTCTTCATCCGTGTTATCTTGGGAATATGTGGGAGTACGGCAAAAATATATTGGAAAGCTTCTATATAGCTTTTGGGACATAACAGTTTAGCGCATTTTTATTGATGCAAAAAGGGTTTAACGTAGGAAGTGCTTTAATGAATTTTCGGGTCATTTAGATTGATCAGCGGACTGACTTGTTGATTAAAGTTTAACAGGCTTTACTTGGGTATGAGTAACAGATTCTAGGTTTCAGAAATCTGAGTCTGAAATTGAAGTCAAGAGTTTGAACGTGAGCGTATTGACGAGATTCGATTTGAAGTTTTTAGCCAACACATAATGTCAGCCTCATAAACAAGCTGATGATGTTGAGGCTTACATCCGACTATTTCTAAAACAAACTTGCACAAAGAAAGCAACAACAATCCTGTTGCGTATACAGATTTCCCATATTTTATCATCACAAAAACAGGAAATTAATACCACACACTGAATCTAGACATACGTACACATAACATACCATAACATCCACAATATACAACACAAAAATTTATTATAAGTTTCAACTGCCAAAAAAAATTAAATCATTTTACAAAAAAAAAATGTTTTGACAACAATAATGCCACAAAAAATACATAATAAGCTGTAAATCCGTGTGACTATATGAACCGTGTGTCATGTTTATTGTAAAAAAATTCTGATTAATGTAAAAAATAAATTAGCTTAGGTACTTACTTGATTGAATATTAAAAAAATATAATCCAACGGAATCGATGAGATTAAATCAAGAAAAAACCACGTTTTTAGATAATGTTTGGCTATTAGTTTTGGATCTAATATCACTTGTTCTGCATTATCTTGCTGCATGATACCTGCACATGTTAACAATATCCCAGGTGATGATGTTAAAAGTAAAGAACAAAAAAAATAAAAATTCATCAGGAAAAAGTTTGGCAATAAAAATTGTTTAAGTGAAAAATAAGAAGGAGCCATTAATCTTTGTTGGATGTATGAACGAGATTGAGACATGTGAATTTTATTCTTTTCTTTTCGTCTCACTTTGAACATAAATATCCTTTTTTATAAGTCATTTACTTTAAGGGTTTGACGACAATATGTTAAGAGTTAGAAAGACATAAAGGATGTATGTAAATAAATATGATTATGTAATTTTATGTTCAATGAGAAAATTCTCAGAGAATCAGTGATAAGACGCACATGACAGAGTTATACAGCATCAAGAAGACAGTCGACTAACAAAGCTGATTCAAATCGCTCTTCCATTCTCAAAAATCTGCACAAAATAATATTTGAACTTGACTTTGCTGAAGATATAAAGGAGATATTTAAGTAAATATATGTAACATCCTCATCCTTACACAATGGATGAAGGTAGGAGGGTACAAAAAGTTCTTCTTTTTCAGCTGATGACGTAAAAAAATCTTTACGTAATCTTCATTCAAGGATTCATGAAGAACATTTTTATGAGTTTTATTTCAAAACTTTTTGGTTTTACTTATACAGAGCAGGTAGAACTAATTTCATTACTCATTAAAACTTCATATTCTCATAAGGCTTTGAGTCTGACTATCAGCACTTAAGTATCAAATATAGCATCCAGATGGAATTTTATGCGTTTATGACATGCGATCCCGCAATAATAAAATCTGTTGGATTTAGCTTTGAGGATTTTGATATCTATTGAGTTTTGACTACCTTTTAGTTCTTTGTGGGCTAGGAGAAGGGCTGCAGAACTTGAAATTGAGTCTATGGATATTTTTCAGTTAAGATAAATTCTACATGAAATGTGTTGTTGCCTTTATAACGATTTCCTACTGCTGCTGTTTAAAAATCAATTCAGCATCTCAATAAATCCATAAAACTACAGATTCTGATGCAAATTTTGCAACAAAGAAATATTCTCTCGATTGGATAACCATTCAGCATCATCCATGACCCACAAAACTACAAAAACAATTTCTATATGTGTCAAGGATATGTTGTCAAAGTAATTTAATTCTGTTCATTACACCAACACCTCCCATAAATCTTATTATCTTAATCAATAAAAAAATGGTCTTACCTGTGCGAAAATTTACTACGATGTCAACCAAAAAGATAGTATCACTTAAACAGTTGAAGGCAATCCACCTCGTACTAAGATCATCATTGAAAAACGATATGGCAACGGGTAGAATAATTAAATTAGCTACAAGCAGCAACAGCATACACAAATCCCAATAAAAGCTGAAAGTATACACAAAGAGAAAGGAAAAGTAGAAAGAAGACAAGAAAGATTAATGTTGCATTAATTTAAATGTTTTGTGTTTACGGAATTGAGCATTGAATATAAGAAAAAAAACAGTTTCACTTCATCTTGTGACTGAATGAAAATTGTGAGGAGGAATAATTATAATTAGCATATTGAATAATAAACACAATAAAGTGGTAATTCATGGATAATTAACATCTCCTTTCCCCAACTGGATTGATGGCGCTGAGAGGAGTGAGTGAGAGACAAAAAAAGCAAACAATGACTGGATTAAAATGTCCGCCTAATTGAAATAATTCTTCATTTTGTGACAATTTTCATGCATAAGTAAAGAGTGGCAAATTGCTTCTTCTACATCTCCATCCACAAACTGTCACATCGTGTGAGTTTGAAGATTTTATTGCATTATCTTAATATTCCCCATGAGATGAGGAGGCTGTAGAAGTGGGTGATTATGTGTATGTGTGTTTCTCGTGTATACTTATACACATAATCAGATTGAAATATATTTCTTGCTTTCTTGCTTGTTCCTGCGTCTATTCAAATGAAACACAATAAATATTCTTCAGAATCAATATATTGAAAATGAAAGTAGGAACAAATAGGATTGAACATTATTGTCCGTTATATTGTTTGGTAGAAGTTAAAGGTCAGTGGAAGTATCAAATCAGTAATATCGATTTCTTTGTGATTTTTTTGATGTTCTCACAATTTCTTTAATAGATGTATATTGAAATTTTGCAGATTCAGACAAATTCTTGAGTAGCGTTGGTTACAAGGACCTGTGGCTGTTTTTGTGGGATAAATGAAGTAAAGGATTGAAAGGATTCTTTTACTATATTATGTCGCGCAATATACTATTGATTCAAAGCAAGAGGCTGTTCACTTATGACGTCTTACATTTTATTTGATTTTGTGACAGTCCAAACAACATTTTGTGACGGACATAGAAGTCTGAATAATCTCGAATAGCATAAATCGGTTATTTTAATAGAAATCCAACGCCAAGTTGGCATGACTCTTTCTTGCATGATTGCAAGTGGTTCGGATCCCACTATAAACTGTAGGTCTAAAGGGTGTGGTACAATAGATTCTGTTCTAATTTGCCCTTCACTCATTATTATTATATATTGGCATGACTCTAGCAAGGTGCTGGCTTTGATTTAAATCCAGAACCAAGGCGCGTAGCCAGGAGGGTCTTGCCCCCCCCCCCCCCCCCCTTAAACGTTTTGAACCGCAGCTAAAACACGGCCCAAACCTTTAAGAGGGGGACAATACCCTCCTGGCTACGCGCCTGTAAGCACCATACCAAAGTCAAATCGGCTTTCTGATCGATTAAACGACTTGTGTCATTCGGGAATGAAGCATTCTTTCACATAAAAATCTAAAACGTTCATCTTGTGACAAAAGTCCAGCTGAGGTTCCCCCAAAAATTATTACTTCACATCCGTCCATTAATAAACATCTGCTCTTTTTAGTTCCTCTGATTGATAAAAAAAAATTCTTTTCATCAAATTTTCATCTCGCTGACGTCACTCAATTTTATTCAGCTTTTGTGTGCGGTAACATTAGAGATAATACTTGGATAATACAATAACCGAAAAGAGCAGCACTAAAGATATTTGAGAATGAGAATGAAAATTTTTGTGGCTTATTGAATTTTCCTTTTTTCCATGACGTCAAAACACCACCTGATTTGATATTATGCCATGATTCTGTTGTGACGTTGTAGTGAGGTATACAAAAAATAATTTTACGTGATTTTGAATGAAAATTACTTCCGGCATTTGGAAATTTATAACGAAATAATTTTCGTAATTGAAAATGGCAAGTCTATAAATTTTTTTTGTGGGGAGAAAATAACAAAAATTTCAATTTACAGAGGAGCCTAATATAAATTTCATTATAGTATGTTCAGCTGCAATACACAAAAAAAAAGAATTCTTACGAGCATGTAGACGTGTTTATTTTTAGAAGATTTCACTTTGGTTTATCGATTAATTGTAGATAGATTCTTCTTATCTTCAATACATGCAAGCTTTTATGAGCTTTTCTGATCACAGCTCCTTCAACGTACAGATAATTTAGATTTACGATGGAATTTATGTGCAGATTACTCAAATAAAACGTTGACATGGTATATTATGTTATCAGAAAGATGCTACTGCTGTCTGATTGTTGATAAAGGAAAGTTATGCTTCATGGAAATGTTTTGGATGGTATTGGGAAGGTTTAAGAAAATTGGTAAATTATACAACCGTAAATGATGTCAAAATAAAGATTTTATTGATACCCAAGTCTCATACGATAGCATCAAGCGACCATAGTCACCCTACTCTTGTTTTGCCACTGAATTTAAACCAAAGTGAAACTGCTTGAAAATCATTTTCCGCATGAATATTTCATGACTATTTGACTATCATACATCAAGACCATTCAGACTGTCATATCATAATAAGACAACCTTACATCTCCATTTTAAAATTCATATTTAACGAGTGTCGTGCTTCAGATTTAGCCATGCATGAAAATTACAGCAGTGCACTGACTTTTCTATTAATTCATATAAACTTTAAAATATCATCTACATGAAATTTAACTTATCATTTAGCAATTCAAGTGATTCTTTTATCATTTCATCTACAATTCTGTGCTAAGTTCTAGTTCCTCATCATGAATTCCACTGTGCTTCACCTCATATAGCACTTTAAGTTGTTAAGTAAATGTTATCAAGTTAAGTCAAATAGAGCTATTTGGAATCACATTTAGATATCTAGTAAATGTATGCAAAATAATGTAAAAAGTTGAAGAAGTTATTTGATAAGCTATACAACAGAAGCAGGGATTTAAAGATGAAAGACAAAAGGTTAGATTTATTTTAATGTTAATTACTAAACTATTGTTGTTACGGAGATTTTTCTGAAGGAAATTTCTCATTAATATTGGGTTGTTAAAGCAGTTTTAAGTATCGAACCATATGTAGGCGAATCTGCCATTGAGAAAGTAAGGCTTTTGTGGTTGTGTGGGTTCAGCAGCAGACTAGAAATAATCAACATTCGCATTCTCTGAGAACGTGGGTTTGATTCCTACCAGAATCAGTTTTAGGAACGTGCCTGTTTAAGAAACCTTAACCCAAGCACATGTTACCTTCCTTTGACAATTGCTGGTAAATATTTAAAGGCTTTATCAAAATATTTTCCTCACGACAAATTGAGATATTAAATCACAAAACCTTAAAAAAAATCAAATCATCGAAAAAAAGGCCAATAAAGTTTGTGGTTGAAAAACAAACTCGAATATTTTCCATGCATTTTATGTGCCATAATTAATCGATAACATGGAAAAACAATAATAACTTTCTTCTTCATCAAGCACACAAAAAAAAAAGAAGTTTTTTGAGCATGGAAAACACCAAGAAGGAAAATATTTACGTATCACAACAATATAAATTCAAGAAACTTATAGATGAGTGTACGATAACAATAACAATAATGAAATGCAAAATGTAGTTTGAATAAATTTTTTTTCTTTTTCATCTAAGCTTTTTTTGCCTGAAAGCGTCTCTATCTATCTCACTCGCTCCCACAATTTGCACCACAAAATGAAAACAAATTCGTCGTACTTGTTTGTTGCTCTTGCATGTTTATGCAATAATGCTCTTGACACGAAAAAAAAAATGATTGTCGAATGAAAATGGAACATATATTGTTAGTGCAACAACTTACCGAAAGGAACTACATGGATGAATTACCCAATGTCCAGCAGTTTTTTGTCGTATTCGTTCTTTTACTAGGGCTTTTTTGCTGCCAAATAATTTCATAGCAAGTCGATTGTCCGTCGGCTGGAACCATGCTTGCAATTGATTTTTTAGAAAATTTGATGATGTCTTTTCAGCCATTACAGGTATGCTTGGTAATGGCTCCTCCTTCGGTGTCCCATAAAGGGACACGTCGTCAAAATGAACCTTTATGAATAAAAAGTAATAAAAGAATTTTATATGTTAGTTTTTTTTTTGTGACTTGACATATGAGATTTATGTCCAAATGACATGATTAATAAGAATGGTTGTGTGGGTATGACGAGGAAGTGGATTTTATGGTTTCATGGATCAAAAATTGATGACTTTCATATATTTTAAAATTCAAGGTCATTAATTTTTGAACATAACCTTAAATTGAGTATCCATAAAAAATTGCAATGTCCACAAACCCAAATAAAACATCAAATGCTTCCTTACCTTTGATTTTGACATGTCGTTCATGTAGTCGTTGATTAAGAGTGCTTCATCATCCAACGCTGTCACTAATGAGTCCGTACACGTATTGTCAATTGACACTCTTAAATCATTGTCATGACTTAATAAATTTGAATGAAATCGTATCGAGTCGGAACTAGCGGCGCTAAATAATCTGTCAGAGGAAAATTAAAACAAAAAGACATTTAGTGAATGAACAAGAAGACATGAAAGAGAGAAAAAAAAAACAATTTTCATTATTTATTGCCATGAAAGGGGATGTAAAAGAATGGAAAATCCTATTTATTGCGCTTTTCGTAGTGAACATAACAATGAATGAAAATGAAAATGAAAAGAGAAATTTGCTTCTCATTCATGTACAGTCATGAAAGCTGAATTGGCTAGTGCACGAAGAACTTTTAAGCTTGAGCAATTTAGTGAATGTTTTTTTTCGAAAGATTTCGTTTTTTTCCGGTAATGTAATATCTGTTGTAGCATTTACATTCCTTTACATTCAATACATTTGCTAGAATATTTATTACTCAATTTAATTGGTTGTCTGGAATTTTTATTGTCTACTAGAATCGTCCTGTTCTACATCCCATGTAACCATAATTATCCAAACATGCTGTTTACATGTTTTATGTCACTTGAACAAAATTATTTTATTATGTTTTGAATGGGAATTGTTGAAAATCTTTTTTTCGGGGAAGCAACTACAGAATTTTGTTCCTTGAAAGTGTCTTTTAAAAGTATTTACTGGTGATGTCTAAGATTCAGTTGATAAATGCAGCACATCTTTATTTCTAGACATTTACTGAACATGAACAACCTTTCGTCCCACAATTTTTCAAAGTCTCATATGTTATGTATCCAAAATTAATCCAAAAGCCATCCAAAGATACAGAATGCTCATTAATCAACGGATTTATTGCCAAATCTGAAGTAATTTTAGGAGTCATCCCACACATTTACCAGCATACAAGAAGATACATAGGAGATGCTTAATTAATACCCCCATTAATTTGCTCACTATCAACACATAGACACAAAAAAAGATGAACAAAGAAAAAACCTGGGAAGTAAAAAAAACTCGATCTCCAAAAAAATCTACTTCATAAAAATTGTTAATGACTTTTTAATGAAAAGCCCCGAAAAGTTCGGTCAAAAACACTTTTTTAACTTAATTCAAGAGTTTATCAGAGAAAAAATAAAAAAAGGAACAAAAAAGGGCAAAAATGAAATTAGCACTTCAAGCTCTGACAGGTTTTAGGGACTGATGTAATGATTTTAATTGCCTTTTTTTGAAAGAAATTGTTTTAATTTTTTACAATCTTGTTTGAATAATAAAAGTAAGACTTATTTATTGGTGGAACTTCCAGGAAGACCAATTATTGCGTAATTTAAAAACATATTCATTAAAAGTTTCTGAAATTTTATCAATATTTAGTAAAGTATGGTTAAAGTCAGCAGTAGCGGAGTGATTAGAGTATTGGGCAATCAACCCTAACGACTCTGGTTCGATTTCAAGGATTGTCTAGTTGAATTAGGTGCTTTTTCGCTATTCTAGTTATGGCAACTCAGTTTGTGCGATTTGTGACTCGCAATTTGTGGCTAGGGACATTGCATTGATATATCCTGAGTCATGCAACATTATTTAAGATAAAAAACTGCTCCTAAGATCGTCACTCATTTGAAGTTCCTAATGCCCTGTGTTGAAAGCCCTTATGTTGACGTTCTTCAAAACTATCTTTAAAATACTGCTAAAAACTGTCACGATTCTCCGAACCAACAAACAGAAATACAAGCTTCAAAAGCAACATCACCTGAAGAATATCTAAAATTTATTCCTGGCACAATCTCCTAACCTATAAAAACCACATTTAAACATTAATTTTCAAATCAACAAATGACTATCAACGAAAGAAAGGCTCAAAAGAAAATTTCTAAAGCAAATAATCTCAATGACAGCAAACAAATCTTTTCGAATATCTTAAACAAATATTCACATTTTTCACTTGAGCAATTCAAGATCCTTCCTTGAATTTCATTTAGTAAAAGAAAGTTCAACTAGAAAATAGCAAGAACAATAGAAGTAGATGATGACATAAAATGTATTCACATAATCTGTTTGAAAAAGATCTAATAAGGACACTAATATTTGTAGAGAATTCATAAGTGTCACAATAAAATGTCAGTTTATTATATTATTCTCGTACTCACAATCGCATAAAGACTAAAGAGCTTAAATATAATATGAATTTTATTTAAATTTTAGTAGTCCCAATTTAAATATATTCACAATCATACTACATAGTCGTAGCAATGGTAATAATATGTGAGAGCTTTTTTACTCAATTTAAACTCTTTTTAATTAACTCACATTTCATTCCCGCTTTTATGCCTTTTGTATCTTTTTTTATTAAATTCAGTAGCTGGGATTTTTAAGGAAGGGTTGGAAGACTTTTTTTGATGATTTGATGGGGTCTGGGATACATTTTGAGCTCAATGTTCAGGTATTGCACTGAATTAACTCAAATTAATTCTCCTTTCTTAATTTCCCATTGTAGTCAATGCTACCATATTAAAGCCATTAGTCATGATATTTTTAAAAGTGCGCCTTAAATTCAGCTACACCATTACTTCCCCAAAAACCATTTTCATTCAAAATTTCCCTTTCTTTTTCCCTCTATGGCAGATCAGTACAAAACAAAAATGAGAAATTGCATGCTTGCGTGCATGTGGGTTAATTGTGCAATTTGCAATTAATTGACATATTGTGTGTTTACCAATGCAATGGAAATATAATACATCCACACATACACTCGCTAAAAATTGAGCTGGTGTTGTGCGATTTGTATATTTTCATTAATTTTGATTGCATTTTTAAATAGATGCATTATCACAGCTGGGAATATAGCTCACGGGGTTCATTTTCTCTCATTTATATGTATTTTCACAGATTAATGGAATATTGCGAGAATAAAGGAACTTTGTTGAACATGAAAAGTTTTTTTTTGTCAACGTGAAAGTTCACTTTATTTTCAATTTTTCCACGTTCTTCATTCGCTAGCAGTGAAAATCGATGGCAATAAATTTTATTTTGAAATTATCTCACTTAAATATGTGTATAAAATGATGTATAAAAGTTAAGAGACATATGTTCGGATTACTTTTACGACCCCGTATTGATATTAATTTTTTTTTTCGTCGAAATTAATGACTAATTTTTGGTTTATTGAACACACTCGTTGTGGAAAATTTGGTTTTTGTTGCTTTTTAATGAGCTTGGGTAAATGATGAAATTTTATATCAATATTTTGGGAGCGTTGTGGAGGTTGATTTTGGTAATATGTGTGCTTAATCAAGGTGTAATGTAAAGAAGCTGGGACATATGAGATTCAGGTGACAGGAGCAATGACAGAGCTGTCAGAATTGCTTCCGTCAAGCTCATAGTCACACAAAAATAAATTTATCGATTCATAGAACATGATCTTAAAAAATTTATAAATGCTTCCTTCAAACAATACCACATGTCGAGTAGAAAATCTCATTTAACTTAATCTCATGATCAATAGTGCACAAACATACTCAATATGTTATTTATGAGCGAGATTCTTTACTATAAAATTCAAAGAAACTTTCCAGCTCCTTGAAACAAACATGCATATTCCTCACACATACATTGTGAGCTTAAATCGGTTTCTCTTATAGAAATAACTTGGAGAATTTTTGTTATGCAAAATTGATGTTGAGGAAGAAAGAGTAATGAAAGTGAAAAAAAGTTGTTTAAGGTGCGCTTTACCTTAAGGCATTAAGTTATAAGGAAAAAGGTTTGAAAAAAAAACATAAAGAAGTGGTGTGGTAGGCAGCAATTTAAAACCTCTGAAAAAAACTTTTCTTCTTATTTCCTTCTCATATATTACAACATATCTGCCATATGTTCAACATAATGAAAATCGATTGTGGTTTTAATGATGTGCTCCCTCAAAAGCCATCCAAGCAAATCGAGAACATACAGTGAATGAAAATGTTGAGAAAATGGAAATTTCATGATGGTTTATGCTTTTTCACGGTATTGTGATATTCAAATTTATATTGTTTCAGTGAATGAGCTTTTTTTACTCCGTGTGATACTTCGTGTATGTTTGGTTCAGTCATCAGTTTCGAGTGAAATGCACTAACGAAAATAATAAAAAAAAATCTAGTTTAAGAACTAAATTTATTCGAGTGAGAATTTAAATTTAAAGATATAATTTTAGGCGAGTAATGGTAGTAAAATAAACTAGATGATGTGCTGCATATCAATGAGCACAAACACAAATATTTTACAATGCAATATCTGATCAAAATGCATGCATGTATTACTCTTTTTATTTTGACGTTCCTAATAATCAGGGGGTATGCAGCTACAGGAAGATAAACCGTGCCTCCCGCTCTCTCTCGCACACAAGATATAGAGCCTCCAATTCTGTTCTAACATTTAATCGCTTCTTCTTATCCTTTCAGCCATTTTGGTGCCAACAAAGTCTCCAATGTACTCTATCAGACAACTAATCAGATACATTAATTATGCTGCGTCACTCAAAAACCATCCGAAACAAATTTTTCTTCATCAGTTAAGATGAAACAATTTTCAATCGACTTTGACTCATCATTTACAAACATTGGCTTCAAGGAACTAATTAATTACGACTGAAGCATCTCTATATGAATCAGACAACTTCAATCTGCTTTTCACTAATTGAAAAGTTTATTTAAATGAAAATTTTTGTCTATTAGGAAACTTTGTGGGAAATGCTTAGGAAAATAGTGATGCTTTCAATTAGAAAAATTTTCAATTTGTTCCTTTTCATTTCTATTGTTGTGAATTTAGAAAAAATAAATCTACAAAACTTCAAGGCGGCATTTTTGGTTTCAATTAATTATTTTATTTAATTTTCTCGGTGAATCTGACATGACACATGCATGCATAGCCACAGCAATTTTCTGTACCTACATAACTCTATTAAATTTATTGAATAAAGGCTTGAAAAACTTCTGCAAAACAGCAAATAAGCTTTATCCTTACATAACACATCATTTATGAAGACTTTCAGTTCCCATGTACCTTGATATCACAAATTAGCTAAAGCACATAAGACAAGAATATTTTCACATCCCACAGAAAATTTA